TATATATATATATATATATATATATATATATATATATATATATATATATAGACACACACACACACACACTATCCGTTTACCCGCGCCAAGTGTCGGGTGCGAATGTTTTCAGAAATTAGTTTGTAGAGACGATTAGTTCTTTTGCGCAAACAATTTACTACATCATTATCAATAAGAGTCGTGCTAGCAGAAACAAAATCAGTAAGAATTAAATATGAATAGTTTAGATTCTTTACAAATGATTCAACGGAAGCCTACACACAATATTTGAATGTGCACTCCATGTAAGGCCGAGGTCCTGGTTTCAAACCTTGGGATACCTCTTTTAGTGCCGCATGTGGAGATTTTTTCCTTGAAAATCACTATAGAAGCTAAGTTTGCCCGTTTATGCAGAGCTCGAACTTAAGGTGATGCACGTTGAAATATTATGTGTAGGCTTTCGTTGAATCATTTTCCGTTTCTAAAAAAAAAGATGGTTTTTATATTCCTTTATTTTATTTTTAAGAATTAGAATAAACTCTTTTGAATTTAATTTTTCTTTCTTTAATAATTGTGCTCTCGGTTCTTTCTTAATTAGATTGTGGGCTAAATTAATACTCCATAAAATCGGTTCTTTCTTAATTAGATTGTGGGCTAAATTAATACTCCTTAATAACCTTTTAACTACGCTCGAAGCGAAATTCCTTTTATGTTTTAACATTATATTATCCTATATATTAAATAGAAAGTCTTTCCAAATGGTTTGTATCTCAACGGTATCAGGTGTTGTTTTTATTTTTTGAGGTCGAGGTTTCAAGTCTCGTTGGGGATATATATGGATTTAGGAGTAATGTAGAAGTATGTTAGATTTACCGTTAAAAAAAGTCCTATTAACAGTAATGTATCCACTTTTGGAGTTTTGTCACAAAAGTTTTGTATTTGTAGATTTAGTCCCTACCATATATATATATATATATATATATATATATATATTATATTTTGGCATATTTGTGCATTTTTTTAATTTACAGTCCCTATGAAGTTTATCTTTTACAAAAACAATTCATATGTCTAAGATTTTTATATGTTGTCAGGTTTGGTCCTTATATAGAAATAAATTACAAACATTGTCCTCAAAATTTACAGAAATTGTTATTGTGTATTTTTTTACAGAAACAGTCCATGTGTTTAAAAAAATACAAAAATTGTCCCCGTAGTTTATAGAAAAGTTGCAGGTTTGGTCCATACACTTTCCTACAATACCAAGTTTGGTCCCCCCAAACAGTGCACATAAAACGATAAAATGATTAATAGTAATACATTTATTTGGTGTGACTAGAACATAGTAAGCAAAACCTCACATGCGTTTCCCGCGAAACGGGGAGGGAGCAATTTCTATTTCTTATAAAGTCTCGACTCTTTGAACATTAATTTCTTGTCATTTGAAAGAAAAATTAAAAACAAATCAAATACAACTTCTATATTTTTTTTCCATTTTCATACGTAGTTGTACATAATTGTATAAATACTTAAAACCCTTTGCACTTATCTAATATCCTAATTATGAGGGTTAGATGGACCACTAATTACTAATTAGGTGTAATCGGTTATCTAATGTGATGTTACATCAAGTGACCACGTTACTTGCCCACCATGTTACTTGGTCTTTAGCTCGTGAGATCATGGGCCACTTGCCCACTTATGGGTAAAGGGAAACAAAGAAACCAGGTTTCTTTAATTGGTACATAAAACCGGACCGGTTTTTTCCATAACCGGTTCTACTAAAATGGAATCGACGGTTAGATATAGTTTTTATTAAAGGGTGAATCGGTTTTTACCCTAGCTTTTGTTTCCGAAGTGGTTTTTTTAACTCACTTTCACTTCAAAAAAAACAACCAAACCAATTAGGTTTTAACTGAAACCGAAATTTAATAAAAAACGGTAAAAAAACTGAAACCTGTTTTAACCGGGGTTTGCGCACCTCTACTTATGGGTAGAGGTGACAATCGTGTCGTGTCGTGTCGGGTTCGTGTCGTGTCGAAACACTAAACAGGTCGAAAGTGTTTTACCCTAACCCGACTCATTTAATTAACGTGTCGTGTCATGTCAACTCGTTTATTTTCGTGTTGAGTTCGTGTCAGGTTTCATGTTAGGGGCATACCTTGAAATATCTCGTGTCTATGTGAGGTTAAAAGATTGAGCATGTTGAAAGAAAAGTTGGATAGACGGAAAAGAAAAACTAATAGTTTGGAGGCAAAATAGATGAAGTCATAACAAGTAAGTTCAGATGACAAAATTGAAAGAGTAGGAGTTGGGGAGGCGGAAGACAATATCATGAGGATGAGAGAGTGGTCAAAGAGACTGTGTAGTTTGGGAGAGAACGGAAAAAACTAAAAATAAAGTCTTGATCTACACGGCTAAGTCATTTCAACATTACAAAACGATTCAATCTAAAGGTTTTCTTTTACTTATTGCTTTGGTTTTGTATCTTTCTATTTTATTTAAAGAATTCAAAAAACTTGCTATAAATAAACGGGTCATTTTCGAGTCATATTCGAGTTGAAATTCTCATCCCTAACCTTACTCGTTTAATTTTCATGTCGTGTCGTGTCAACCTGTTTATTTAAACGAGTTGAAATATCTTACTCAAACCTGTTATTTCGTGTCGGGTTTCGTGCAGTGTCAATTTTTGGCACCTCTACTTATAGGGGCTATGTGACTTTAGCTTGAGTTATCAGCGACGTATCATAGACCGTTAGGTCTGAAATTGAGTCCACTATCAGGCACGGACGTGAGATTTTATAGTAGGGATGTCATGTGAAATTTTAGTAGTGTCATGATAGTAGAAAAAAATCGAAAATTTTCAAAAAATTTTACACTGCGTCCGGAAAAACCAGGTGTTGCCGGTGCCACTACAGGCACCATAGTAAAACCGCCAGTGCTATTGGGGATACCGACAAAGTGGAATATTCATCGGGTTTGGAAATTGAGTCATTTGACATATTTCCACCTTTACTTCAAAACGAAGAATATCACCCATGAAAACAAAACTACATCGACACATCAACTAACTTGTAAATAAGTCAAATTTAGTCCCATGAAAACAAAGCTACATCAACACATCAATTAACTTGTAAATAAGTCAAATTTCGTCGTATGATGAAGATTGTCATGGGTCGAAAATTTTCTCACCTTGAAATCTCCTTTAGCAATGACTTCTCACACAAAATTATAAAACACATCAATGTGCTTTGTATTGTTCCACAAACATATGACATTTCAAGATAAAAAGTTGCATTACATTTTCTTTGGTAGTGGTATTTATATAGGGTTATGATTAGTTTTTCATTATCATCTTTATCTTATCACCTTAGGCTTGTAAAAAAAGGGATGTGGTTAGTCTTCCTTGTAATATAACCTAAATACAATTAATCAAAGAGAACACAATATTTTATCTCTAAGTGCTGATATTGACTATTTGTAAACAAAAGTATCATTTAAAACATCAATTATTCACAATCCTAACCTCAAACATCTTTGTTTACACTAAATATGGTATGTAGCAAACCTATGAAGCTTCTTCTTGTTGCCTCTCTTCTTCCTTCTAAGTAGTAGCTTCCATAGCAATTCGGTACCTTTACTACGCTTCATCCTTGGTACAATTGTCAAAGCTTGAGGTGCGACATTCTTTAGTCCACACATGTTATTGCACGTGTTGTAATGTGGGCCAGATGGATCTTTTGTTTCTGTAGTGGTTAAAATTTCTTTGATTGTGGGCAACCTTAAAACATCATGCATAGAAGAATGCTTCCTCAACTTCTTGTTATTAGTCAACTCTTCTACTCCTTCATAGCCACTTACACTATGAAGATCTTCACTTACCTCATTCTTACACGAAACACTGCATAACATGTTTCAAAATCATCATGCCAATTTTTCAAATTCTACAATAAAAGAATATACAATAAAAAAACATACGTGGCTAATTGGAGTTGTAGCTCAAGACATGTTGTTTCTAGTCCTTCATATTGTTGACTTTTATCCTCCAACTCCATTTCTAAAATAGATACTTTTCGAAAGGCTTCTTTTATTTCAAATTTGGAATCAGAAAGTTGATAATCAAGATCAACATTCATTAATCTCAAATCCTCAAACTTCTCCTCGGTTGTTCTCTTTGACTCATTTACCCTTTCAAGTTCCAATTCCAAAGACACAATTTTGTTTTCCAATTCCAAAATCTTTGCTTCTGGATTCCTTCCCACTTCTCCTTTCAAAATCCGGATTTCATTCTCTCTCTCACATAAACTTTCTTTAAGAATCCTGTTTTCTTCTTCCACTTCACTCAACTTCTTTATCATCAAACTCATACTTTTATCCACAGATTTTGTCTTTCCATGTCCTGGGACCCGCTTCTTTACTAACAAACGAAGCCTCTGGCGTTCGGCTTCTAGACTTGCAGTTTCTTGTTTTGCCACGTTAGCATTTAGGGTTCTTATCTTGAGCTCTCTCTTGAGAACATGATACTCTGTAGTTTCAATTAATTCCTCTTTCTTAACAGAATCTTTGGTAAGTTGAGAATTTTCAACTGTTAGATTAGCAAGTTTTTTCCTTGTTAATTCTGTGTATTTGGACTCTAGTCTCTTATGTGCCCTCTCCATGTTCTATTGTAATGTGTCTTCTAGATCTTTGTTTATATATAGCTACTTCTGATTGGGGCTTTTCTATTTTAAAAATTCCAAAAGAATCCATGTAAATTGAAGGAGTTATGCAAATTAAAAATGAATTTAAAGTAAAGAAACAAGAGTCACCTGTTATGGCTTCTTGATCTGTTTTCACATGTTCAGCCATGAGTTCATCTTCTGCATTACACTCACAGAGAAGATAAACCTTTTGCTCTGATCCACACATACACAAATAAGTATGAACAAATGAAAAGAAAGTACGAATTATGTCAACGTTCTCATAACGTAAAACAACAATCGTCATGATTAATATTAGTGTTCGTAAATGGACTATTATTAGTGATGATCAATGATGTCAGACTTTCACCTACAAATTGTCCTTCCAAAATCAGTGCAAATAAAGCTTAGTTCTCCCATGAAGATGACTGAACGAGACAATACGTCAGAAATGTAAACGCCACCGCGCCCCACCGGCAAAGAAATGGTCCCCACGGCCAGATGGGGAACGCCGATTAGATGTAAACCGAAAGCATGAACAGAGACCGACAGAATGGAACAATCCGTAAATCCCCAACAAAAATCCCGTCAAATTACAAGTAAAAAAATAAACCTCGAAAGATGAGAAATTAGAAGCTCACCTCAATGAAATAAGGTTAGATTACAAGAAGCCAATGGGTATTAATGATCTCTACCACCATTTCTGCATGACTATGAGTTGATCCAAGTTAGAAGTTGGTTGAGGAATTTCATCGAACAGGTTGAAGGAAGTAAAGAGGTGATGTCGCGGCGAATAGTTTCTGCCGAAACGAACCCAACACACTGATATCATTGGACTTTGAGAGATCGTGAGGTGTAGCCATGATCATAAGTGTTGAAGAAAAGCAAATAAAGAAATAGCTGTAGCAATGGAGCGGTGGTGAGCAGAGGGCTAGAATTGTGTCAGCAACATGTCATATATGATCATGGAGACTTACAGAACCGACTGACGAGAATCAAATGAGTTGGTGTCCTTTGCACTTGTATTTTATCATTTTTATGCAACTTTTAATAATATACTATTCGTCTGCTTTTTCCATGTAACCTGGTATCATCATAGCTAATACATCTTAAACTCTAGGGAAAATATTATTAACGAATTACTTTTAGATAAAGAATTATTTAAAATCGTCTCATTTTAGTCCATTTAAACGATTATAGCCCTTAAACTGCTTCAGTGACATTTTTTTAATGATTCGGATTAAATCTTTATCAAACTTAATATGCCATGATTTTTAAAAATCTGACTTGACATTTTAGTCCCTTAAAAGAACAACTCCAATCGGTCTTGTAGGGAAATCAAATTGGGTATGGTATCTAATGTTGTCACGAAACATGAGGTTCTAACATTTTAATAAGCCATAAAGACAATGTATGTTTAACAATTAGCCAAAATGACATTATATTATCTAAACAAAATGCATAGCAACAAAAAGCAACTCCAAATTGCTACCCCCTCTTACCCTATATACTAAACACAAGACATTACAACTTTCCACATTGATGCCGCATGGTCATATTTGTCTCTATATATGTTGGAGTCTTCCATATCTCCAAATGGGCTTTTTTTTGAGAGATAACATTGGAATTTACATATATTTTACACGGTATCAAAGTCGTCGTCTAACACCATGTGATTTGACACATCCATGTTTATCCTCATGAAATCATCGCCTCTGAATGAGAGTGCTAGTATATCACATATCGGTGCGACACAATCATATAAGTCTCTATTTCTCCATACGGGCTTCTTTTGGAGAATTAATCTGAGACTTCATAGAAATCTTACACAACCAATAAGTTATTACAAGAAACCTACTTTCTAATTGATATTATTTGAGAAATCTTGTCCTAATTAGAAAGTCGCATCGTCTAAAAGTGAACAAAAATAAGTTGATTGACTAACGATGGACAATTGAAATAATTTGTTTGTCATTTATAACATTTTCATAGGTCGCTCATCAATTTATTATTCTCCAACCTTTTAATATTTTCCTAATTTTTGTCAATTTTTGTAACACCCGTTGCCAGGTATTTTCATTCCAACCTTTAGTATTTTAAATTATTGCAATTTAGCCACTTACGTCGGGCATACTAGGCTTGTATGACGAGCGTAAGTCAACATGAGAGTCGTGGCGGAGGAAGAGTACGTTGGGCGTACATATGGGTACGTCGGGCATACTCGTGCAGTCCTTTAACCCTAAATTTTTAGGGTTGTGTCCCCTATTTAAACATCTTAATCCTTCATGGACCTCCTTATGACCAACCTTCATTCCTCTAAACCCTAAAATCGAAACCCTAGCCCTTGTGAGTGAGAATTAAAGCTTGAGAGTGATCATTAAGTGTTCTTGGTAGTGAAGGAAGATCATTCAAGAAGTGGTGGTGCATTCAAGCCTTTGGATCCAGAATCTACATCTCTTTGTTCATCTTTGAAGGTATAAAGTTCATACCTTGAAGCTTGTTTTGCAAGATCTTGTTTAGGCTTGGATTTATGTTCTTTTTATCCCAAAACCTTGATCTTTGTGAGTATGGAACACTCTAGAGCATATGAGTTATCCTTTCAGACATTTTAGGGTGCTTAGAGTCATAAAACCGTTCCTTTCTTCCATGCATGTGTTATGGAGTTTTTGGTGATGTTAGAAGTTAGGGTTTTGGGATTCAGCTCTCTTTAGCCATGCAAACGCATAAAGTCAGAGACTTTATGGATTAGGACGTCCTTTAAGGGTCAGATATGTTGGATTAATGTCTAAGTCCATAACTATAATTGGTAAGACTTGACCCGACCCGGCATGGTCC